AGGCTGAGGCAGAAGGATCGCCGGAGCCCAGCAGGTCGAGGCTGCGGTGGCTGGAAGCGGCCACTGCACTCCAGTCTGGGTGACAGCGTGAGACTCCAACTTAAAAAAAAAAAAAAAACATTGAAATCTTAATTCTCAGCTGGGCTCGGTGGCTCAGCCTGTAATCCCGTGCCTTGGGATGCTGAGGTGAGTGGATTGCCTGAGCCCTCAGGTTCAAGACCCACCTGGGCAATTTAGTGAGACTCATCTCTACAATAAATAAAAAAAAAATTAGCCGGGTGTGGTAGCGCGCACCTGTAGTTCTAGCTACTTGGAAGGCTGAGGCGGAAGGATCGCCGGAGCCCAGCAAGTCGAGGCTGCGGTGGCTGGGAGCGGCCACTGCACTCCAGTTTGGGCGACAGAGTGAGACTCCAACTCAAAAAAAAAAAAAAAGAAAGAAATCTTAATTCTGTGTTTATTAGGCACCATGCTATATATATAAAATAGAAATGTTTTAAAACACTAGAACATTATATGTTTTCATGCAACCATTAATTCAGTATGTTTATTTCTCTTTTACTCTCACTTAGCGAGGAGCTTCAAGATGCACTGGGTGTGACAGACAGGAGTCTTCCACCTTTTATCTATCGGATGCGCCAGCTAGGGTACCCACCAGGGTGGCTCAAAGAGGCTGAGTTGGAGAATTCAGGGCTTGCACTCTATGATGGAAAAGGTATAGTATCTTAAGTTAGAGAAATCAGCCTAAGTGTTACCTTTTTTTTTTAGTTGGAGTGTCACTCCATTGCCCAGGCTGGAGAGCAGTGGCACGCTCACAACCACCCCAGTGTCGACCTGTTGGGCTCTAGCAGTCCTTCTGCCTCAGTTTTCCAAGTAGCCAGAACTACAGGCACGCACTACCGCACCCAGCTAATTTTTTATTTATTGTAGAGACGAGGTCTTGCCAAGTCACCTAGGCTGGGCTCAAACCCATGGGCTCAGGCAGTCCACTTGCCTCAACCTCCCAAAGTGCTGGGATTACAGGCTGAACCACTGAGCCCAGCCTACCCTTTTTTAAAAATTAAATGTAAGAGTCACAAGACATTAGGAATGGCTGGCTTGGTTTATTTTTTTCTTTTTTTTTTTTTTTGAGTTGGAGTCTCACTCTGTCGCCCAGATTGGAGTGCAATGACCGCTCCTGGCCACCCCAGCCTCGACCTGCTGGGCTCCGCAATCCTTCCGCCTCAGCTTTCCAAGTAGCTGGAACTACAGGCGCACGCTACCACACCCGGCTAATTTTTCGATTTATTGTAGAAATGAGGTCTTGCCAAGTTGCCCAGGCGGGTCTCAAATCCGCGGGCTCAGGCCATCTACTCACCTCAGCCTCCCAAAGCGCGGGATTACAGGCTGAGCCACCAAGCCTGGCTGGCTGACTTGTTTAATGTGTGCTAACTAAAAAAAGTCATGATTATGATTCCTTTCTTTTACAAGGAAATAACTAAAACTGAGGTGTGTCCATATAATTGTTAGCTGATCATTTGGACTTGCTCAGTAGCTACCTACGCCAAAGTATCAATGCTGTAGCTAGTCCTTTTAAGTTCTTAACTTTCTCAGTAATGGTAACAGACAGAGAGCCATCAGTGCCAGGAAACCTGTAAAATTTAGAACACAGAAACCCTCTAATAGTCTAGAACTCCTCTCCTGGATAGCCACCATAGAAAAATACTTACATATATGCAAAAAGCAATGCATGTATGCAAGAATTTTTTTGTTGTTATTGTTTTGTTTTTTTGAGTCAGAGTCTCATTCTGTCGCCCAGGCTGGAGGGCAGTGGCACACTCAGAGCCACTGCAGCCTCTACCTGCTGGGCTCAGGCAATCCTTCCACCTCTGCCTTCCAAGTAGCTAGAACCACAGGTGTGCATGATCACGCCCGGCTAATTTTTTAATTTATTGTAGAGATGAGGTCTCGCCAAGTTGCTTGGGTTGGTCTCAAACTCGAGGGCTCAGGCAATCCTCTCACCTCGACCTCCCAAAGTGCTGGGATAATAGGCGTGAGCCACTACACCCGGCCTGCAGGGATATTTTTGTAGCTTTGAATATAGTAGTGAAAAATCAAAACGTTAAGGCCCTCAAGGTGAATAGTTAAGCTGTTGTGAGCTGTGGACTCTATATATTGCAATATAGAGTGGAATAAATCCATATGAACTGGCATGGCAAAGTCTTAGGGCAGTACTGAATCAAAAAAAAACAAAACCCAAAACAGTTGATTTCTTCCACAGTGTGGTACCATTGATCTTAAATTAAAAAAAGAAGAAGAAACTCACATGAATGAAAACATGCTATTTTCTCTTATGGACTTATGTATATACGTATTTTAAAAGTTCTTAACTAAGAACCATCTAGATGCTACAATTTAGGCTTACAGAAGTCTGCCCTGACCACTTTATATGAGTATACCTCTCCCTCGTCCACCTGCCTGACCTGCCAGACTATCAGTATACCCGGTTTGTTTCCTTCATAATCTATCACAACTTAGATACATTTTTTTCTTTATTGTTTTGTTTTTTGTTTTTCTTTCTTTTTTTTTTTGAGTTGAAGTCTCACTCTGTTTAGGCTAGTGAGTTGAAGTCTCACTCCGGGAACGGCCACTGCAGCCTCGACCTGCTGGGCTCCAGCGGTGCTTCCACTTCAGCCTTCCAAGTAGCTGGAACTACAGGCGTGTGCTACCACGCCTGGCTAATTTTTTATTTATTGTAGAGATGAG